TATGGCCAGTGTATTTTAATCTTCTGTTGCCGTGATAAAAACAACATGACCAAAGGAACTTTTAAAAGGAAGAGTTTATTTAGCTTACAGTTCCAAAGGGCAAAAGTCCATCATGGTGGAGAAGCATGGCAACAGACGTGACTGGAGTAGGAACAGAAGCCAAGCTTTCACATCTTTAAGCAAGCACAGGGAGCAGAGAGTGACTGCAGATCTGACAAGGCTTAAGAATTCTCTAAGCCCACTCCCAGTGACATGGTTCCTCAAGCATGGCCACATCCTCTAAGATCTCCCAGAGCAGTGCCACCAACTGGGAACAAATGTTCAAATACTTGGAGCCTATGGGGGACATTCTCATTCAAACCACCACAACCAGTATGCTGGGAATACCAGGGTAGTACTTACAGTCATGGAGAAAAGAAGGGAGCCAGATTGTCCTTGGTTGTCTTGCTAACTAGAGTGAATGAGCAGATGGGAAGGAATGGTATTTAACTAGTTATATCTTTGGAGATTGATATCTCTATATGGTAAAAGCTAAAAAGCTCCAGCAAGGTGATGGGAAACAAACGATACAAGGATAAAAATGGAGTTGAGAGCAGGATACAGCAGCCCTGGTGTCAGCAGACACCAGGGCAGAAAAGAGGAAGCAGACACAAAAAGAAGGGACAGAAAACAGAGAGAGTGAAAGGAGCCCCAAATTTCTTGTTTTATTTTGGTGTCTTTGGGATCCATCCATAGCTCAAACCTCTGTAGAGGCAGGTGCCTACATTTCTGTCTGTTCCTTGGAGAAACCCTTCTCATTGAGCTGTGGGTCTCAGGTATGTCTCATTCTAGAGTTTTCACACTGACTTGCAAGTGGGAAAAGACTTCCTGTTTATCTTGCAGGAAGAGACCACAGGAGGGAATAGTTTAAGAAAATAATGACAGAGAAGTTCACACTCTAACACCTTGTTTTATTTCAATGTATATTTTTTATTGAATTTTTGTGCATTTCATAAAATGCATCAATATATCTTATTCATATTAAGACCCCCTCCCTCCCCTATACGCATCCCACCACAGTCAGCCCACACGACTTCACACATTTTATAATATGTTAAGACATGAGTCAGGTTTGTATACCCAGCTGTCTCTCAGTGTGCATTCATCCACAGGAGCCTGGTCAGCCTATCTAGCATCACCCCCTTAAAAAATATCCCCCTCACCTAGCAATGATCAGCTGTCAATAGTCCCTCAGCTAAAGTTGGAGCCTCCTGTCCATTTCCCCAGCTCTATGCTGGTTTTTGTCTGATTGAGTTTGCATGGGTCTTGTGCATGCTAACGCCATTGCTGTGAGTTCATAGGAATGAGTTCCAGAGCCTAGAGAACACTGTTTCCTTATCATCATGCACCACATGGGGCCTCATAGACCTACAAGCCCTCTCTGTAGACTGTCACATACTTATTTGGGAGCTGTCTGCTGCCCTTGTAAACACCTGGCTGGTCCATCTCTGTCAGTCGCCCCTTCATAAATTCTTGCAGTTCTCTCCCAAGCTGCCCTTGGAAGATGAAGTCTCCATTCTATTTTCTGAGCATTTCAGTTTTCCCCATTTTTCTCCATGTTGTTCATACTTATCATTGTGGGGGGCCAGGGACAAAAATACCATGTGAGTCTCTTCCTCCACTTCATCTCAGTTAAGGAAACAACACCATCATACCGGGCTAAATTTTTAATTTTTTAATTAATTTTTTTTGGGTCTTTTTGAGATAGGGTCTCCTTGTAGCCCCAGCTTGACCTGAACTCACTATGTAGACCAGGCTGGCCTTGGACTCACAAAGATCTTCCTGCCTTTGCCTCCCAAGTGCTGGGACTACAGGCGTGCGCCACCACGCCCAGCCAAGGAAACATTTCTTATGCTGAAAGATTTGAATGTGCCTTCCTCGGAGATTAACTGACTACACATCAGGTTGTTTTTTAAAAACACAAACTTGTTTAAAAAATATTACAAGACTATATTCTGGGCTAGAGAGATGGCTCAATGGGTAAAGTGATTGCTGTACAAACATGAAGAACTGAGTTTGGATCCCCAACACCCATGTGAAAGCCAGGCACAGTGGTATATGACTGTGTTCCCAACACGGGGATGGAGCAGGAGGAACAGAGACAGGAGAATCCCTGGGGCTTTGCTGGTCACATTGTCTAGCCAGTTAGTGAGCTTCACATTCAGTGAGAGACTAACACAAACACACACACACACACACACACACACACACACACACACACACAAAGCACCATATTCCAAAAGATACTTCTTTACAAACAGCAGCATCTCATCTATTTGGCATATACCTTATCTCATCTTACAGATACATCCTAAGACAAAATATTAAAATAGAAAATCCTCGTAATGGCTATTTAAGACAGAAGATGTATACTTACCTCTTCCTAAAGATTTAGAACCAACTTCTGACAATCATAATCAAAATGCACAATGTTCAGGCAGAGAATATCATACAAAGAGTCAAACTTCAGAGTCTGGATCTTAAACTCATTTTGACCCAGATGTTACTTGTAATCTACTTCGGCTACTCAATGTCTTTACCTAATGACATTACTCACCATCGTATCCAATCCCTTGCCTGAGATGAGATGCTCAAGTCTATTCATTTTAGTTAGTAGTGAGGACTTGAATGTTAGCACTTGGATTTGCATGTGATTTTCCTAGAATGTAATGTACTTGTTTCTTGGTACCAGAAGCCTCCTAGTGGCAAAAGTGCAGCAAAGAGACTGGACCTTTTAGAGTGTTTCCTCTAGGTAGAAAGGTACTTTACAGCTTAACTTTGACTTTTCTGGTAATAATTAGCATGCAAATTAACATGGGTGCAAGTATGGTTTAGAACAGATACGTTGTAAACCAAGGAAGTCCAAGCTCCTCTGCTATAAACTCCCTGTCATTGTTTTCATTCTTTTGTCTTTGTTTTAACTTCTGTAGGCTGTTCATTTGGTCATGATGCTCAATCTGAAATTATACATATTATGCTTACTACTAAATTGTTACATGTTCGTGTATCATCTGCTATGGTTGGGAAAACATCATTGGTCTTATTTGAACATGAATGTAACACAGACAAGAGTTATGGTACATTGAAGAGAGGCACAACTTGATTTGTTGATTCAAAACTTAGAGTCTAGTAAAATAGAAGAGACAGAAAGTAAACATCTGATGTTTGATTGATGACCTCTAACTTGGATTTTTGAGTATAAAGAAGAGGAGGGGGGGACAAAAACAAGATCCAGTGTGAGATTTAAGCTCAGTTACAAGTCGGGAACACCCAGTTCTGGGCTTGATTTAGCTGTCAAATTGCTACTTGACCTTGGACAAGTAACACTGTCAAATAAGAATTCAGATTTTTTTTTTTTCTCCTCCAAATTCAGCAGAATGCCTACCTCGGTCCACTTAGGCTGTTGTAACAAAATTTAAGAATGAGGTAACTTGTAAACAACAGAAATTTCTTTCTCATGGTTTTGGTGGGTGGAAAGTTCACAATAAATGCACCAGCAGACTCTGAGTCTGGTGAGACCAGCTTCCTGGCTTACAGACAACCGTGTTCTCTCTGCTCACCTCTTCTGGTAGAGGAAAGGAGTCTGCTAGCTTTTCTTTTATCTTCTGGTGCTATGTCCCCACATGGCAGAAGGGGCAAGGGAGCTCGCTACATCCTTTTCTTTTTCAGTAAGGGCACTATCCTGGATCTTGAGATCATTCCCCTCCTAGTCTGGTCATCTCCTAAAGGACCTACTTCCAAATGCCAGTGCTTTGAAGGTTAGTTATCAACACATGGACTCTGAAGAAATACAAATTTTCAGTCTAAGGCATGAGACTGTGTAATAAGACTGACAAAGTGATCCCTGATAGCCACACAGGCTGCTATCAGAAGATTCTAGTCATAGTATGCCAGTAAAATCATTTGTAGAAATAGTAAAGGTACAACAAACACCAAGAGGGATAAAAGTGCAGGCTGTTGTAAGAGGGACTGTTCCTGGAGATGAAACACACACATCTATTCACCCCAGAAAGGGAGCCCACAACAGAGTAACAACTGAATCAAAGTACAACTTGGTGAACCAATGAGTTTTTATTGGGGTTACTAACAGGAATATAAATGTGGGGTCACTTACGAAATCAAGAATGACTCAAAAGCAGCTGTATCACTGAAAAGCCCACCCCAACATGGGGGACAACTCACAAAACCCGCAACCGTGAATCTCTCTGTACAGCTTGCAGACAGCTCCACAGGTCTGAGAATTCCCTCTCTGCAGCTAAGCTGATTAGAATTGCTTCCCCTGGCACCTGTTTATACCTTCTAGAAAACCGGGGGAAGGGCCTTCAAGAATCTTGCCAGTTCTGAGCTTGTGAAATTCAGTTTAATTCCTGAATCCCATGGGGCTCCCTCTCCCTCCTGGGGAGAATGTTTCAATTTGGAGTAATCTGCTATACAACACAGGAACACACCATTTTGCTATTGACTGTCTTTCCCTCCATTGCATAAATAAAAATAGCATTTTTATTTTTAAAGCCATAACAATTATGACATTGTAGTATTTAGTACTATTCAGTCCTATAGAACTAAAACAATCTTTTTCTTAATGTTTCTTCAAGTTCTTGATCCAGGCAGTGAGTTTTAAATTACTTTTCCCTCCTAGTCAGTTTCTGCAGGATTTCTCTTATGCCATCTTTGATCTTAGTTCATACAGTAAAAACTTCCAGCACATTCAAATCTACATTAAAATCCTATGTATTCTTCTAAGAAACTCCAGATAAGATTGGTTTGCCAGGAACATACTAAAATCATAACACAAAATATAACATAGTGCCATAAACCTAAATCTAATTACTTTTTAAAATATATAATATTGAAAAGAATTTTTGTACACATGATTTTCTAGGGTTTGAGGGGTTGTTAAAATACAACAAAGATAACAGAAGGGTAAAAGATAACATAATCACTTCCTGCTCCCACAACAGGTTTGATCTTGATTTGATCTAACAAAATGTCCAATATTCACTCACTGGCTTCTGATTTTAGGTAAGTGATTTAACTGTAACTAAAATTAAATTTACTTATTGGCAGAACAGAGATGACAATATTTACTCATCAGGCTAAAGACTAAATAAGATGTCATATGTAAAAAGTCCACCACTAGTGACTAATAAAATAGGCAACAATTAATATTTGGAAGACTTCTCTTTTATTATCTTAGAATCATTTGATAGCCATGATACAACACATTCAAACCTACAAAAAAAGGTTTGATCTACCCTTGTAAGAGGCATTGTTATGTAGAATTAAGTGAACTTTCCTTCTAAAAATGATTATCTAACAGTCTACTATGTTTTCTATGAATCATTTGAAAATATTGCCATATTTGTTAATTTTGTGTATATATGTGTATGCATAGGCACACACACATGCATGACATGGTGCCTATGTATGAAGGTCAGAAGACAACTTGCAGAAGTCAGTTCTATCCTTTACCATTTGGGTCCTGGGACTCAAGCTCAGATTTGGGGGTAACTGCTTTTACCTACTAAGCCATCTCGCCCATCCTCCATAATCACTTTAAAAGAGGGACAAATCCAGGCTGAGGATGTAGCTCAGTTGATTGAGTGCTTGCCCAGCATGCATAAGGTCCTGGGTTTGATTCCCAGTGCTTAGGAGAGAGCCAGTTGGACAGCTGAACAGCAGGATCAGAAATTCGAGAAGAAAAAAAAGGTAAATTCTAGCCATATAAAATATGAGAATGTGTCCTAATTTCAATGTATTATTCAGTTTGCAATATTAATATTAAAATGACAAAAACTTTCCCAGGAATGTTCTTTGATGCTCTGGCACGTTTTAATGAAAACTAAACACAGAAGAAGTTGTAGAAATGAATGTTTACCTGAACTCAAGAAATCTGAGTGTAAAACCTTCAAAAGGTAGTTTTTCTTTCCTTTAATTAGGCCTTTTTCTTCCCTTCCTATCTCTGAACCTATCTTGACAATCCAGTTTAGCAGCCACCTAAAACATCCTCCCCTGTAATTTAAGGATCAGGTGGTCATCTGAAGCAACCGAGAAATATAAAACCACTTTGGGTCCTGTAGAGAAAACAAATTAATGTGATCCCCAAAGTCCTCACTGAATAGCATTAGGCCAAAAATGCAACAGTTCTCACCTAGTTATATCAATTCTAGTAATTATTCTTGAAAATGACTTGTGGACCACATAGAAATACAAAATATAAAACATCAATGATCTTCAAATCCTTCATTTTATTGACCAAAGTTACTGTTTCAAAAGTAGGAACACATTCAAATATCAAATATCAAAAGGTCTACTAAAAACAACACTAAAATGAACATTTACCCAAAGTCTTCAGACTTTGAAATTCATATAGAAACCCACATACATCATTTTATATTGATCAGGTTTGAGAAACCGAACATTATTTTTTCCTTATTTACATTTTAAAAGTATCTTCCTTGGAAGAATTAAAATAGTGGGTGGTTGCTTCTGCGCACGAGTTTAGTATTCAGGCAATGGCCCAGTGAGTTCAGCCTCTGTTGCTCAACTGCACCACCTACTGGGGTCTCAGGAGTATGATTTGCTGCATTAAGAAGCTCTGTTCTCTTGCACTGGTGTGTCTGGAATGAGAGTGAACACCAGAGTTAAGAGGCTTAGAATCTCTCCTTGGTGGATTTTCTAGGTTTGGGGATTCTTCATCCCTCACCTGCTCTCTGCTAGCTGGCTTAAAGGTTAAGTTTCTCATTCTTACCAGAAGTGAAATAATCAGAAAATAGAAACTCAAGTCAAGTTTCCTGACAGAAGAATTTCAATGAATATAGATAGATAAGCACCCATACCATACACACACAAACACATATGCCTACTACTGTCTGCTCTCTACTGTTCCCAGGGGTAAATTGCTCTGTCTGATCCTTGAAGGTGGGCTAGACTGAGTGACTCACACAAAGATTGCTGTATGGGAAGAGACTCAGTGTAAGTGGTAGCCTAGCAGATACTTTACCTAGGTGACCAAGGTGAACGTCACCAGTGACGTTGTATAGACTCCAGGTATCCCTGATGTGATGTGACCAAAGTGTGTGTTATTATTCCCCCAGACCCATAACCCAGGCTAACCACAGTGGATCAGTGAAGACTGGGGGCCACACTACTAAACACCTGTAGAAGTCTGTATCTGTCAACCCAGGAGAAAAAAAGGAAATGCAGAGAAACTTCTCCAGGGAACATGAAGATGAAACGCAATGAGGCATCCTGGTGGATGTTGGTGCTGCAGAGTCAATCAGTGAAAATGCTGGTGAAGGCAGGTTTTCAAAAGTCTGGGATGGGTTAACAGTGTAGTACCCATGTTTGTTTCTTGATGTAAACAAATTTACCAGAGGAGTATAAGATTGACAGGAGGGAAAACTAACATGGAACAAGGGGTCTATGGGGGTTCACTGTATTATCATTGCAAGTTTCCCATAAATTTGCAAGTGCCCCAAAATAAAATTCGTATTTTTAAAAAATATTTTTATTTATTATTTTATGTGTATGAGTGTATTGCCTGAATGTATGTGAGTGCACCCGTGTCCTGCAATGTCGCGCAGGTCAGAAGAGGGCTTCGGATTCCACTAGAACTGGAGTTAAGGACGGTTCGTAGCCACCATGTGGGTGCTGGGAATCAAACCCGGGTCCTCTGTAAGAACAGTCAGTGCTCTTAACCACTGAGCCATCTCTCCAGCCCCTACTTAGACATAAATATGACATCTCCATGGTGCATGTCCTTATGATTAAAACTCAGTTGACGAACACATTGCAGAATGGTTGCAGACTGCACCCTGTTTTCAGACAGACACTTTCTCTCATTTAAGTTTCATACACTCATTTAAGTTGTCAGCAAGCAAGAGGGATTTGTCCCATCTCTCAGTGAGGAAACAAACTCAGAAGAGTTTTGTCTGACTCACCATCATGCCAAGGATAAGAAGCTGAGCCGGGGCACAGCCCTGAGTCTCTTATCCATCACCATGAGTTTTTGGCCTTTAAGTTAGAGCCGAAAACCCGTTTATTGGGAATGACTGACACTGCCTGGCCCTGTTGCATTCCGTGTCACCTACTTCTTCTCTGTATGAGGACTCAAGTGCTGAAAACAGCATGAATGTTATGAGAAAAAATGTTGAAATGAGGAAGAACATGGCAAAGCTTCAATATTTATTTCCAGACATCATCAGGACACAATCAAGGTCTTCTGCCAAAGATAACCCCTGTCGTCCTTCTGGGTTCAACTAGAAACTTCTTCATGAGTCCTTCTTCTTGTACTCGGAGGACATTCCTCCAACCTTGCCCTTCAGTAACACTTCCCTCTCTTTGTTTCTGTTTGAGTCAGAGTAGAGGGAAATAAAGACAGAGAAGATAAAATCCCTATTTTATTTCATATAAAATCATCCTCTCTGTTCTTCACAATTTCTTTTTTTACCAAATTTAATTTTCAAACATATCTGTAGCTAGAATGACTTCACGCGAGTATGGTAAATTACTTAGAAGTTTCAAATTATAGTGTTTTCACAGATTGGATAAGGAGCTGACATCAATAAAGCACTAGAGCAGTAAGGGGCGTTCTTGGTCTAATTCTCTCATTTTCAGAAGATCCGTGAAAACGGGGGGTTGTTGTTGCTGTTGTTCGTTTTGTTTTGGTTTTGGCTTTCTCTCCATACATAAAAAAAGTGCCAGGTGGCAATGGCCACTGATATTTGTCCTCTTTGAGGGAGGAAAAGCAGTGTTGCAGTAAGCAAGAAGGCACATGGTCTGCTGAGGAAGGTGTGGGACAAGCCTGGACTATCAGGACTGCAGCAAACACTCAGAGCAATGCAGACAGCGCAAAAGGACACAGAAGCCTGCTAGCTCTGGCTCCCACCAACCACATCCGGGACAATTTGAGCATTAAAAGAAACAATCATAGCAGTAGATAACGTAATTTTTGTCTTTTGTGATACTTGTTTATCCATGTTGCAGCACTGCAGCACGGGTCAGCTTTTCCTTCCTTTCAAGGCTGCACGATCGTCCATCGTATATATGCAAAGGCTGCGCGGTCACCCATCGTATGTATGCACTGGCTGCACTATCACTCACTGTATGTATGCAAAGGCTGCGCAGTCATCCACCGTATGTACGCACACCCTGCGCTGCTTGTGTGTTCTGTGGGTGGAGGATCTGCAGTTTCTTACACTTATCGCTGTGGTTAATAATGCTGCTATGAACACAGATGGGCAAGTCTTTATTTGAACCTTCCTTCCAATGTTTTTTGAGAAAATACCCACAAGAGGAACTACTGCATCCTGGGGCACTGGTATTTTTAACTCTTGAAGGAATTGCCTTACTGGTTTCCACTGCGGCTGAACCATTTCACAGTCTCTCCAGTTCCTCACAAGGATTCCAGTTTCTCCACACTCACTAGCATCTGTTCACTTCAGGTTTGTTTTTGTTGTTATTTTCCTGATAGTCATCCTAATGAGTATCAGGTGGTACATCGATCCGGTTCTAATTTGCACTTCTCTAATGATTAGTGACGATGAATGTATTTCCATGTGCTTATTGGCCACTTATTTGTTTGGAGAAATGTCAGCTCACGTCCTTTGCTCATTTTTGAACAGGATTATGCATTTGCTTCACTGTTGTTATTTGTTATTGAGTTTTAGTTTTATGCGTTATGAATATAAGCAGTGTTGCAACTATTTTTCTCTTATTCAGGAACTGGAGTTAGGGACAGTTGTTAGCCACCATGTGGGTGCTGAGAACTGAACCTGAGTTCTCCCAGTGCTGTTAATGGCTGAGCCATCTCTCGGGCTCCCATTCAAGGTTTTTTGATGTTTCATTTTTCCTTCCCAAATCTGCCTAACGCCTCCCAAACCTGAATAGCAGCAGTGAATTTCCTATTTAAGTGTTGTGTTTTCTTGGTTCTAACTTTTCTGTTAAGGGTTTTTTTGTTTGTTTTGTTTTTTTTTTTTTTTTTTTCACTTTTCATTTGCTACTTCATTTTTGTTCACATCTTTTTCTTGACTTTCTCCTTACCTTCCTTTAGTTTCCTGGGCTGTTTAGTATCATTGCTTTTAAGTCTTTATAGAAGAGGTCTGTGGTCCCACTCTTTCAGAGACAGTTTTTGGTAGATTATATTTTCCATCGGATGACCAAGGCATGAGATTCCCTCCTGTAGAGAGGGCCTCAAATTCAATCAGGAAGTTATTAGTTACCCCATAACAATAGTACCACTATTGTACTGGTGGGCACATCTTGCCTGGCAGGTCAGTATTGCAGCATGCAGGGTTCAGTTCTAGGTAAATCACTCAGGTCTTTTCTCCTCCAGCAGCTTTCACAGCACTTCCTAGCTCTACTAAAGCTAGCTAGCAGGGAGGAACCTTCCTGGTGTGTTTAAGATTGATTTCTCTATGTCCTATAGCCAGTGTATGATGATGTCTTCAGCAATAGAGTCTTAACCATGTAGTTATGGTGGATAACCAAGGGCAATGGCAATAGCTTGGGTTGTTTTGGAGACCTCTGGTTCTCCTTGATCAATAGCTTGTAGGAATGTATCCCTTATACTGTGACATTGCCTTCTCAGGATGCTATTGTCCACCCATGCAGGGTAATTTCATCTGAATTCCTTTTTCTAAGTTGTACTTTGGCTGATCTAAACCCTCTGTCTTCCCCCTCCCCATTCCTCGACCCCATTTTGGGTTAACCCTTTAGCCCTCAGCATTTCTTCCTCTTCTTTCATCTCACATGTGTTCTGTTGTCCTTCCACTTATTTTCTTAAGTTGGGTGGTGAGATAGTAGGCTTCCATGTGGTTTTCATACCCCTTCCTTTGGGGTAACCCTCCCTTTGCCCCTTACTTTTTTCCCTGCTTGAGCCTTTCTGACCCCCGTATTCCACCTCACTACTTTTCATTTTTACTTATAATCTACTGTCCCTCTCCCCCACCTTTACATGTTCGTGCTCCAAAAATCCCCTTTCCAGTTTCTTGCTTCTACTTGTACTCAGAGTTAAACACACAAAAGATGTGAAGCTGGGGTCTGCATATGAGAGGGAATGTGTGACTTCTGTCTTTCTGGGTTTGAGTTACTTTACTCAGTATCATTTTTACAGTTCCATCCATTTATTTGCAAATTTCATGCTTTCATTTTTCTTTGCAGTAGAGTGACACTCCATTATATATACGTACCACATTTTTCTTATCCATCTGTTGACGGACACCTATGTTGATCCCATTTTCTGGCTGTTGTGAATAGAGCAGCAATGAACATGGATGTGCAATATCTCTGTAGTAAGATAGAGAGTCCTTTTAGTAGATACTCAGGAGTGGTACAGCTGGGTCATATGGCAGTTCTATTTCTAGCTTTTTGAGAAACCTCCAGACTGATTTCTAAAGGGGCTACACTAGTCTATACTCCCAACAACAGTGGATAGCAGTTCAATTTCTTCCACATCCACGCCAGCGTATGTTGTCATTTATATTCCTGATCATGACCATTCTGACAGGGATGAGGTAAAATCTTAAAATAGTTTTAATTTGTATTTTTGATGGCTAAAGGTATTGAGCACTTTTCAAAGTGCTTCCTAGTCACAGAGGGGGAGCAGGTCTGGATCTGGGACCATGGAGGAAAACAAGATCTGGTGACTCTTTGTTCTTCATGTTTCTAAGGCATAGAAACTAAGCTTTCTCATCTTGACTAAAGACACTCCCTTATACTTTGAGAAATGTGAGTTGTCTCCACCCTGGTGTTAGATAACCTGTTTTCATTCCATCCTGTCCTTGGTAGCCTGTAGTCCATCTCTAATCAGACCACTCAGCAGGATCCCGGGCATCACAAAGGCTGCCAACAGGGCTGCTCTGTTGTCACTTTTCTCGCATACTTTTCTCTTTGCTCTTCTCTCTACCAGCTGGATTGGGTGACATTGTCTATTGCCTGATGATTAAGTTACTTGTTCAGCATGAACCATTCCATCTCTGACATCAGGCATCTCTTTAAACAGACTGGCTGCAGACTGCAAACCAAATAAGCCCAGGGGTCAACAGCTCATGATGAGAGTGGAATCATTCAGTCACCTGTCTGTGCCTGGAAAGTGATTGACATTTGCTAATGAGCCACTGTTGACACTTTGCTTTTAAATAGATGACAGGGTCTCACCTGACTGAGGTCTTACTGTTTCTGGATAATTATTTCCTTAAACTGACAGAATTGCACTGCATTAATATTTAAAATTAAAATTAGTGATTACTCCAGCCCAGTGACAGAATACTGCTGCTAAATGTCATTGAATTGCTTGTTAATATTAATTTACAATTTGTGGAGAAATGGCTTAATGCCTGAGCTATACACATCTAATTCAAATATTGATTAACTGAGCCATAAAATAAAATTGCTGTACTCATAAAATAAGTTGCTTTTAACCATCTGTGTTTGATTTTGTGGGCCTTATTGGCATTTTTGAATCTCAGTATT